CAACAGAAAAACAGACACACCTGTCCCTGTGGTTTTATGCACCCCGCATAATTTAGAAAAAATTTGATCATTTTTTGCATAATTTCTTATTATTCTCCTTTATCATTCTTTGTTAAAAATAACAGAATCGCATAATTTCACATTTTTTGGGCTCAGTTTGCATAATTTCAGAATTTTTCTTGCATAAAACGACTGGGACAGACCCACAAACAGACAGACAGACAAATAGACAGACAGACAGACAGACTGACCTCTGGGGAAGCGGCCATGAACTTGATCCAGCCATCGTCCACGGACAGCAGGAAGTTCCCCTGGTACAGTTCTACAGACACACCGTCCCCTCCGAACAGAAGGAGCGGGTAGACAGAAACCATAGAACTGTCGCGGAGGTATACCTGTAGACACAGACAGACAGACACACACACAGACAGATTAATAGACAGACACACACACACGCAGACAGATTAATAGACACACACACACACACACACAGTGTCACCTCCGAACAGAAGGAGCAGGTAGACAGACACCACAGAACTGTCGCGGAGGTATACCTGTAGACACAGACAGACAGACACACACACAGACAGATTAATAGACAGACACCATAGAACTGTCGCGGAGGTATACCTGTAGACACAGACAGACAGACATATTAATAGACAGACATCATAGAACTGTCGTGGAAGTATACCTGTACACACACACACACACACAGACAGATTAATAGACAGACATCATAGAACTGTCGCGGAGGTATACCTGTAGACACAGACACACACAGACAGACAGATTAATAGACAGACACTATAAAACTGTCGCGGAGGTATACCTGTATACACACACAGATAGACAGAATAATAGACAGAAATATAGAAAAACAGACAGACATACAGAGAGATGTGCCACAACCACCAAATAAGAGGAAAGGGCAGACAGACAGCATAGCTTTGAAGGTACAAACAGATAGACAGACACACAGATATGATACAGATAGACAGACACACAGATATA